CTAAAATTCAGTTCAATTGGAATAATAAGGTGTACAGTAACTCAAATTAAATTATACATTGCACATCACGTATTTACACATACTGTACATTTACACATACTAATCACAAATAATTCACAGGTGTAAGTAACTACTGTAATGATTTGGAACTGAAGTACTTTCATGGGTATATATTAACAGTAATTTGGGTTTGCAGTAGGGGTAGCGTGAACATCCTCTACAGGTTTGTCATTGGCTGAGGTTTGCTTCAAAGCAAACATGTTTTTAAAGAACTCATACTATCATGCCATCTGACAGGGTGCAGAAAAAAATATCAAATTATGTGGACATTTCGGGGGAAAAATGTGACGATTCTGTGGAAATTTTTAACAGTTAACAAAATTGATAATAGAGCCTTTTCAAAGTAGCGAACAACAGTAAAACAAAAAACACTTCAAAGTCTTACCCACAGTCTTAGCTCTTTAACAGAATAAACTTATTAAACATCATGCGGCCAACTTTGACATATGCTTCATCTGTTTCCAGTGGTTGTTGACAGGCATTTCTTCATTTCACACAGGTTTTCTGTAGAATTTTTTGTAAAGAATTTGTTGTTGCATTGTCAAAACATCTGTAACTTAGTATCCAGGCATTACATTGGACAATGAAAAAGCAGTTTCCAGGCTCAGGTTGAAACACCTGGAGGTTAAAAATTTGTCACGAACAAAATGGCATGTTTTCATTGCTGTTTTACGAGGAAAACTATTTCAAAATAATCAATCTCTTGGTAATTTTTACTTATGGGAATGGTAAGCAGCTGCTTTATCGCTAATATGAAATACTTTTTTCTGTTTTATGTGGAAAAAACTCTGATTATGCGGAGGATGCAGATGTTAGCAAATTATGTGGATCAGCACCACCGCATCCTTTTGGTTGCACTGTAAATATGTTTACCAGCAGTATGTTGTATTTATTTGCAGTACCTTCAGCCATTCAGCCAATACAAAATGAGAATATAACTGAAGGAGGAAATTTGACTCTGTTGTGTAATGTATCTGGGATTCCTCCACCAATGGTGTCTTGGATCAAGGTT